GCGGAAGCGCGGAGAGCGCATGCGCTGCAAATAAGAGGACTTTATTTTTAAAACGTAATTTCCTGAGAAAAAACTTCTGTTTGGCCAAGGCAGACTGAGTTAAAGCTACGTTTTTGAGGGTGCATTGAAGAAATTAATAACTAAGTTCTTCTCAAACGCCCATTCTCGTCAGATCTCCCTCATCTTGGCTTGGACACACCTCTCAAAACTACATTTTGAGTTTATCGGCTACATCTTCCTCTTTCACTTGTGAGGGTTTCCACTCCAGTCTGTCGCTTCTTTTCGCACCATTTAGAGCATTGTCGGGAATCCCGGATGTCACAGAGCAGAAGGTACTTCTTGTATTCCCAAAGTTGCACAGGGAAAGTTAAAGCAACACTAGGACAGAAGCAGCACTGTTACCCCCTCTCCTCCCAGGAAAACCAGTGCTTTGGCAGGTGGAAAAAGTGGAGGAATTCAACTGACTGCTCTAATGAGACCTTAATTTCCAAGAGACACCAGGAGAATTGTATGATTTTATGCTGCACAGGTGCAGTGCAAATGTCCATGTTTTACAAGATGGCAGTTAACTGGCTTGAAGATGAATCGGTCTTTTCCAGAGAGCAATTTATATATATGTATATATATATGGGATTTCTGAAGGCCAGTGGTCATGTTGTGAGCAAGCCAGATCTAGGTGAAAGGGGAGAAGCACTGCTGACTAAGGGATAAGGAATTAGGCCGAGGGTCAGATAAGGAGAGAAAGAGTTGAGACAAACAAGTAGAGGGGGACGGTCGTTAAATGCAAGGGCACATGGGCACTGCTAGTTAGCCTATCACACTGTGTCGTTAGATGCGTGGACGCAGGGTCTTAAGACAACAAAAAAAACACGAATGCTTTAGCAGGACCTGGTACAAAGAAGAAAACTGCAATAAAATAATGCACTTTTTTTTTCTTCTCCTTTTTTCCTCTTTTCTGTTAGCAACAATTTCAGGAAGCTGTCAGGGAGGCCTAAACTAATGACCTATGGAACAATATTGCTTTTAGTGTTTAGTTAAAAACTGCATGCTGAGAGTGCACAGGCAAACCAAGAAATATTACATACTTTAAAACAGGTCATTTGGTCCAAGAGCAACTGGGTGAGGATCGTTCACAAGTCATTCTGAAGAAACTTCATGGAAAACAGAGCACAACTAAGGAAGCCAATAATAAATTCATACACAACACAGAAAGGGTTTGAAATATTGCCAGCTTTATTTTCTAAGTTTCTAGTGGTTAAACCTATCACACTCTGTCCTGAAAGAAAGCTAAAGAGATTCAAAGCAGCGAATCCATACTTGCCACAAAGCTAATTTGTCTTTCTGTTTTTCTGACTCTTCCTCCACTCACTGCAGCAAGGAAGATGTCCCCTGGAAACATACACATTTAAAAAACAAAATGGCTGTTGGATTTCTTTCGATCACTTACTCTCCAATTCATTTTCTTCAGTCAGTTTCTTTCTTGCTTGCTCAGCAGATTTCTCCTCACCGCAAGGTCCCTCTTTTTCCTGTACCCTGAATTTCTGTCTTTGCCATTCTCATTCCTCTGTGGAGTTCACCAAGTCCTCCACTCTTCTTAAGCTATTTGTATTATCCATCTTTCTCCTGCATAATTCTCTCACAATTTCAAAAAGTTTATAAAGTCAAATCTACCCGATCCCTATTCTCAGGTTTCATTACAAAGGCAGAAGGAAGATCCCCGGAGTTAACTGTTCACGGCCCACGTCTCCTTCCTCTACAGGTTCCTCCCAGCTCTGACCGCTTCTTCTTGGGTCTCCAGGCATTTGTGGCTCAGAATTGTACAGCTACGTGATTTCTGGCTGAAGAGACTTCAGAATGAGATTTCCAAACAGAAAGAGGAATGAAAATGCCAAAGACTCTACTACACACTGTTAAAGCATTCCAATTGGAAACTGAGCTATTGGGTTTTCTCGTGAAAAACAGCGGGTGTTCAAGAGAAATATATATATAATTTGCAGTAAGACTATTTTGGGGGGTATTATATTTTCCACTGAAAAGATACCTACAGAAAAATCCTGATTAGCCTTAATGAGCAACTACTTTTCCAAAGTTATATACATCCATTTGAATCCCGTGATGGGAGTGGGGCAGGGGAATAGCACAGGAGCAGAAAGGCTTCTTTCTTTTAGCAGTTGAGCAATGTTAACTGCAGATTTTTCACCTTAGAACCTCGTTTGCATGTGTGTTTTCAAGCCAGAACTTTGCGGTAACCAGATATACAACCTAATGAGGAACAGATAGATGTTCTGACTAGGGACTCAAAGCTTTATATATATTTTAAGGTTTTTCTCCACTTTTATTTGTAACAAGTAGAATGTATGTTTGGCAATACCAAAGATGGCTACTATTAGACACCGAAGTTTAATAAATTCATTTCAGATCCTGAATCAATTTAATACAAAATACTTTAATGATATTACTTTTTCAAAACGTATGGGGAAATACACAATCTATCACATTGACAATCAAGAAGCAGATGGCAAAAGATTCTGTCTAGGTAATAACACATAATACACACTTCAATGAACTAGCCAAATGTAGAGAAATTAAAATCCCCAATGCTAGACATTATTTGCATCTATAACTAACTTCTGCTCTCCTTCTAACATACACATCATATATTCCTAGCTTTATTGTTTCCTACTGCTTAGAAATATTAAGGTAGTTGATGTCTGCAGGCTGATTTTAATGAAATCACAAATATTTTATATTTATTGTGAACATGACAACATGAAAATTTTCCCTTGGAAAGGAAATAATGTTGTTATAATGATATGTTTATCTCTCATTGTCTCTTTTCAGAAGGTTTAAGCAGGAGGAAGAGATCTTCAGACCTTAACGAAGGAAAGAGATGCACTAATTTCTTTGCATGATTTTGCAGATTTGTATTACACATTTAATTGCACAGCTAAAAAAATGAAGTATTCTTTCGTGCTGCTGTATGCTTTCTCCTTTTTCACATCACTTATCTTCACCACCCAGTTTCCTTTATTACTTAAACCTAAATGCCCTTCTTGCCTTCTACTTGCACTGACAAATCTTAGTAATGAAACACCTAAGAACAAAGCACAGCAGAACCAAAAGAAAATAATTAAGTTATATAATTAATCATATAATAACTGCCATTTGTAGCCATGTTTATAAAGCCTCAGGCTACTTGAGAAAACAAAACAGGCCACAAATCCATCCCAAAACTCCCACAGAGCAATCGATAACACAAATTTCTAAGCATCAACTATCAACTGTCATGTTCTATTCATTAGTTTTTTTTTTTTTCTTAAGTCCTTTTGGAAAAAGGAAAACAAATAAAAGAGCTCAATAATAGAGCTTTTTTTTTAAAACAAAAAAAAAGATAATTTGGTATTTTCATCTCATTTAAATCCCAGAAAACTAGTAGAAAATCTGGAAGCTTTAAAACAGTAGATTTTGGGTTTTTTTTTTTTTTTTTTTTTTTACTCACCACTAAACAGTAAAGGGACTTGAACATTTTTAACTTTTAAATCCGTAAATGTTACTTCAATGGTATTTCATATACATACGAATATGTGTGTGTGTACATACATACATACATGAATACATAACAGCTGATGCCAAGCATTAAAATATGAGGGGAGCTTTTTCCCCAAAGAAGCCCAAGCCAGATAGATTAGTTTGCTTTAACACACAGGTTTGATTCCCCTTCAGCCGCAGCAGATAAATCTTTATGATGTGACCAACACATGAAAGTTTTAATAACTGAACATACATAAGAAACATACAAAAAAAAACCTACCCCAAAGTAAAAAAATACCAAGGGAATAGAAGTTGCATGTCTCTTCCTAGCAAGGCTCACATCTCGGTTCTGAAACAACCTATATAAGAAGCCAGACTTTCTGCATAGAGTAAGCCTTAATTTTTTTTCTGTATATGAAGATATGCTGCATTTTAACATTGGCTAAGCACATTTCATTCAGGCTACTTGGACCTCAGGTAGTTCAGCGCCACAGCTACTCAAGGAAGACTGGTTTTGACTATATGCATTTTGAAAAAAGAAAAATAAGTGTTATACTGACTTCTTCAGGCTTATTTAAATTGAGAAAAAAAAAGCCCACATTTTATTTCTTTTTAACTTGAAACTATGAGATGCTTATATTTTCAGATGTCAGCATTTCAGGGGCCTTCTAATTCAATCAAAAAAGATACGAAACCTCCTTACACCTCACCTGCTATGTGCACTTCTTTATATGCAAGACACTACACATATCTACAGTTACCATCTCTGTGATTCAAGTACTGTGTTCATGAGTATGAAAAACAAATTCTTTCAGCCTGAAGAAGAATTCTAAGCACAATAAGGAAAGAAATGCCCACAGAATCTTTCAAAATACCCTAAGGAATATGCAAACAGGATTTGTATTGCAAACAATCAACCAGAAAAACTTACAATGAGTAAAATTATAGCTCTGTTACATTTCATTTATTAATGGTACAGTGCAGCAACAGTAATTGAAATAAATAGTTATCTGGATATAATACAAAAATATAAACCTTCATAAAAGTTTACAGTGCACTAAGAATTATGTACTGAATTTAAATAACTGATATACATTATTTATCTTAAATAGCATGCATGGGTAGGTACACAGCCAAATGAACGTAAATACCTTTTCTGTAACTTAAAGACAAACTTAAGGGATTTATTACTTCACTCTAGCCATAGTTCATACTTCAGGTGAGACTTGTGAGCAAACTAGCGTTTTTAATGTTTTCCTTTTGTCACCATTCTCTACTTTTGGCACAGCGGCTCAATAGTCAAATCAGTTCTGGATATTAGCATTCATTAGCAGCTAAAGAAAAGCATTACTCAGACACCAGCTTAAGGCACCATGGTTTCCACAGACACACGAAATCACTGGAAAAACAATTTTTAAAAAGTGTATGAGAGTTTGGCTACAAGTTTAGCAAAACAAAAGATTTATTCTTAAATATGTTCTAATAACATATTTTGCCGACTACTGCTTTTATGACTCCATAAAAGTAAAACATAAGATTCTGACATTGTTGCAAACTCAAGAATATCCCCACTCTTTTCACTGAGGGTTGTAAAAAGTCCCTTTATCCCCTTATAATTATTATACAGACTTTCAGAATACAGTTTCCAACATAATAAACAGTAAAAGCCCACTAAATCACCTTTTTTAAGACAGTACTTTTAACAGCAGCTAAGTTAATTCTATTCCTAATATTCTCTTACTAGGAAGGCAAAAGTGTGTTGAAAATGTCCAGGCAACTCAATGTCTCAGCAACTTTGCAGAGTTAAATCTGTAAACCTTAGCTACAGAGATCAAAATGCTGTTAATTCTAACCAGTGTTTATATAGAAATCACTGTCATTACCATCACTACAAATGAGCAATTCGTTTGCATTTTACATTCTAACTTCAAGGTTGAAGTCAGTCATTTTATCACCAGCATGCTGAACAGCCTGTAGGTTATCCTCATCTCTCAGAGGATATACTTATGAGATAAGGATATATGTAACTCCACCTTTGGTACCTAATGGCCTGAAGAGCAGAAGTCTTGTTTTGATGTTCTGCATCACCTTAGCCTGAACATTTTCAGTTTTCAATCTGTCATTCACTTAGTGAAAAACTTCCTCAGAAGTAAACTATGCAGCTCCTACACTGTCATACGTGCAACCGACTAGGCAGAAGTGTATCTCTGATTCCAGTAACTCAGTCAATGAGTAACAGTGATTAGCTATAGTTCAAACAAACTCAAAATAAATAACTTCAGTTAAAATGCTAGTTTCCACCACAATGGCTGTATATTATATCAAAAATAAGAATTACAGTCAGTTATACTTGTTATATAATGATTGGCTTACTATACCACAGGTAAATTCTTCATTCAATCAGTGTTTAAATTTTCTGAACTACTAGCTATAATCCAGATTCAAGAATAACATGAAACTGACAAAAAGAGTTTAGAATAACATTTGTATGTTAATAACAGACATTCCTCACTTAAGTATGCAACTTTCTGCACCTTGGGAGCAGAGGAGGTCACAACAAACTTTGGTCATGTTCTGCATATGCTAAAATCACTAAGTAACTGGTAATTTTAGGATTCACAGTTTATCTATGAGACCTAAAATAGCTTTCTACTTTTTTTTGGGTGTGTGACTGGTTTAATGATCAATTGAACAAGCAAGCTTGAATCATTGTATCTTTTTATAGTGTTCAGTTCCAATCTCAATTACCTAAGCAAATATATGAGAATTAAGTATCTACAAGAGCAGTGCAAAGAGAGGAGCTCCATAAAAATAATAATAATAATAATGAGAAGGAGCTATGTTTAGTGATTGTTTACTATTTTGGATTCTGGCAGATGAAAGAAGTTGTCTTCTTTGAGTTTAAGTTGATCTGGTGAATCTAGTTGTCTTTTTGCTTCTTCAATGTCTTCCTGAATGGCTGAAATAAGTGCCTCTATAAAACAGAAATAAGGATATTGAAAAGCTGCATTCTAAACACACACCGCAAATGAATATAAAACATACCACAGAACACTAGAAAACAATCATAAAGTCACAATAGAAAATACTGCCAAGTTCAAAAGGAAAAATCTCTGTAAAATAAAGAAATTACTTTAATTTTTCATAATTACATTTTTCCATCAAAACACTGAAGTAATTTTTAAGCTGGAATAAGAAACAAAAATATGAGCTTTTTTTTTTTGGGGGGGGGGGTGAAGGTGAGAGTTAATTGATCCAGTTTATACATTAGATTTTAGTTAATAAAACATTTCCATTTCAATGGTTAAGAGATAAAACAGCTAATTATGAAAAGACAGACAGTGATGACGAAGAACTTCCAATACACAAGAGTAATACAATTAAGAGATTGGTTTATGAGACACCTGCAATACTGACCTAAAGAGTCAAAGTTTTTCTCTGGTCGAATATATCCTGTAATGACTATGCTAAGAATTTCTCCATAAAAGTCTTGTTTGAAGGTATGGATTATGTGCGCCTCCTAAAGAGAAATAAGATTGCACTTATGAGGAATTTTGAGTTAATCCCACTTCCTGTAAGAGTGTTCAACTAGTATCTCTATTTCAAATTCTCCCCAATGTGTACCAAAAAAAGCCAAGGCACATGCATTATGAAGGATTAATAGGCTAAGTATTTTGCTTAAATTAGGAAAGAAAATAGAAAACTGCTTATGTTAGCAGAGAATTATATTTTACATGCAATTTAAGTATGTAAAGACTGTTGTGTTCTGGGTCATTCTAGGGCTTTCAGAATCGCTAAATTCGATACAGCTAAATAAACAGTAGTCTGCTGATATCAGCACCATGAGCAACTATTTTAGAAATAAAGTTTTTACTTGAGTAGTATTTATTTAATGATGGGAAAAGTAGAGAATATGTTTTATTCAGCTATGGCAGCATGTTCTCTGGCTACTGAGACTACTTTTCAGAATACAGACATATGAAATGGATACAAAATACATTTCTAAAAGCAATTTGGGATTTCTAGATCTCAATTTTTGGATCAAGTTCTGCTCACCTTATTCAAAGCAAAAATTTGGCTTAATATGTACAATGCGAGTACCACACAAAACAAAATTCTTACCACTGATTTCTTAATATTCTTATAGAAAGGATTCCATCCTATGCTCAAAACCATTTTATGCACATCTCCATTTCCAACACAGGCCCATCCATAGTATATACCAGTAGAGATATCAGATGGAAAGCTTTCCACTACTTGCTCAGAAAAGTTAGCTGCAAAAATTTTAGAGAGTGTACATTTGTTAAGTCGAAGACATCACAGAACTTCCAAACACTTAAAAGCCAAGATCTGCCTATATGCTGTTTACAAACAGAACACTGATGATGACCATAATGATACAATGTGCCATCTGGGAAACAATAAACTACAAAAACACATCACAGAATGTAATCCCTGTGGTAATACTGGAGTTACCACCTCTTCTAACCATATTATTTTACGATTACATGCATTCTGTTCTATAGTTAAAATTCACACACTGAAATAAAATATCCTGTCTGAATGCATATCACTATTATAATGTTTTTCACAGCTCTAATATGGCCAAGGAGGAGAGAATCAAGTTTTTCCTGTACTAGACTGTCATCTAAAAAATATGTGATAGTTAACTAATTATTTACTGATTCACATAAAGTTAAATAAAGTTATGATTGTGGTCATGAACGCTTATACACGCTGCCTTTCAGAGTAGCTAAACTGGGAGATTTATGTGTGGGTTTTTTTTGTTTCTGAGAAAACTATGTATCAAAAGTAAAAGCAGATTAGTCTCCAACTTCGAAAATGACCCTAAACTTTTTTTTTTTTTTTTTTTTGAGGTGAGCTCCAGCTGCTCCGCTTCTAAACCCCTGTGTTTTTCCCTTTGCTCCTCCTTCCGTAGAGCTAATCCTGCCACCTTCCTTGCGCTAAGCCGGGGCAGGACCCCCTTTACGGGCACGGGTATTCCCGAGCTTCCTCATCGCACCACAGGAGCTTCCGCAGCACAAAGCGGTGCGGGCCAGCACTTTCCAGCACCGCGCGCATCGCTATGATCGCCACCGGGAGATTTAGCTAAGAGCAAGAAAACGTTAAATAGGACGGCGGGAAATAACAGAAAGGAAGGGGCGGAACAATAAGCATTATAATAAATAAATAAAGCCTCCTGAAAGAGCTATGGCCATTTATAGAAGGCGCCAGCCGTGCCATTAAGCACAACTGCTGCGGGCTGCCGGCC